TATTGAGAGTACACTGTCTCTGAAGGTTGTCAGCAAAAGCTTCTGCCTTCTCTTCGGTTGTGTACACCATCCCCTGTTCGCTGTGTATTGGGGGGATGGGCTGTCTTCTGTTTCTGAGGATTTTAGCCAAGTTCCACATTCCTGGGTCAGCTGGAGATAGTTCGTCGAGTTTCTTATCCCAGGTGCTCTGATGGTGCTGCTTCAGGGCGTCTCGTGCCTGTCTCGTAAGTCTGTTTGCCACCATGATGTCCGTGGGGCTTCTGGTCTCCTGGGCTACTCTTCGGGCTCTGTTTCTTTCGGTGATCTTGCGATTTACCTCGTCAGGTAGGTCCCTGAACCTGTTTGGTTGCGTTATGTCTTCCACGGTGGTTGCGGCTTCTAACGCAGCCTTAATCTTCCTTTCTAGGTCCGTGACCGCTTCTTCTATGCCTTCGGGGCTTTCGATCTGTAGTAGTGGTCCTTGTGAATAGTGCAGTCTGGTTCTAAACCGCTGCCAATTCACTCTCTTCACTGTTCTTTGTTCCACAGGTGTTATCTCATCTCCCATACAGAGAAAGATGGGATTGTGGTCTGAGCTTCCCTCTTGCATGGCGCCGATGGTGGTGCGCATGTCGATTTCCTTCAGAATCGCCATATCTATGACGTCTGGTCTACCTCCGTTGCTGGGGTATATTGTAGGTTCGTCCGGACCTATCATGGTATATCCAGGTTCATCCATTAGTCTTTCCAGAACAGCGCCGTGACTGTTTCTGTTTCTTGAGCCCCAAATGGTGGACTTCGCGTTTAGATCACCTACGATCACGGTACTGTTTCCCAGTGCAGTGATACAGGTGACATCTTCCAGATATATCGTCGATGTGGGTGGTACGTACATCGAAACGATGTTCAGAGGGCCGTGGTCTGTTGTGCGTACCGTCACTCCTACGGCCTCTGCTGATCTTAGTTCTGGCAGTCCCAGTTCCCAGTGGGTAATGCTGGTCTTGACAGCAAGTAGCACCCCACCTCCGGTTCTGTTCCGGTCCTTTCTGTATGTCGTGTATCCCTGTATCGTCCAGTGTGGGATTTCCCCAGAGAGCCACGTTTCTTGTAATGCCATTACATCATAGTTTCCTTTTGTTAGGACTTCGCCTATCTCATATTTCTTGTTGGAGACGCTGTGGACGTTCCAACTCAATATCTTCAGGCCCCTATTTGCAATGGTTATTGGAGTGCCCATTTGGAGTTTTGGTCAGTGCTTCCCTCTGTTTAGGCGTATTTTTGCTCCAGATGAGCGAAATACGCCTTTTTGGCCGCCGGGTTCTTCATCACCAGTGACATCATTTGTGATGCGTGCTTGGTGGCGAAATCGGTCAATTCCTCGACGTCGCTGTCTTTGGCACTGCTGGCCTGAGCGACTGGGGCCACTTTAGTTGCCCCAGCTGTCGTCGACGCATAACTACGGCCCTCCTGGACTGGACTAGGCCTAGTTATGGTTTTGGGTGCTGGCGCTGCTCGCGCTGTGCCCCTTGGTGCCGTCTTTTTGTCCCTTGGCCCTGCACTCGGCCTCTTTGGGCATCCTCCAAAGTTTGCGGGATGCTCTCCCCCGCAGTTGATACATTTCGCGGGTTTTTGGGACCTTGCAGTCCGCCGCTCTGTGTTTTCCTGCGCATCTGACGCAGCGCGGCTCTCCCGTGCAGTTCATCTGGCTGTGGCCAAATTGTTGGCATCGGTAGCACTGACCTGGTCCTGTCTTCTTCTTTAGTGCCTCCACTTGGATCACCATGTGGCAAACGGCGTTTATTTTGTAGATCCCCGTCTCTTCCTTCGGGAGATCTACTTTTACCAGCGGTATGGTTTTTCCAGTCCTCCTGCTGGTCATCCTGTTCACCGTCTTTGGGTGGAAGCCTTGCCTGGCCAAGTCTTCTGCGATCTCTTGGCAGGTGGTTATTCTCGGTATTCCCCTTATTACCACTCCCAGTGGCTTATCTTCCGGTAGGGAGTAGGTATGATGCTCTATCTTAGCATCTTCGAGCGTTTTGCGGATCTTTCTATAGTCATCGCTGTCCTTCGGCTGGACTTTAATGCCTACTCCGGTTAGCCGTGCAGGCTTTTCAATTGTGAGCAACTTCTTGCTCACTACCTCTTTCCACTGTTCTTCCCTATGGATGTACAGTGGTGGGGGCCTCTTTTCCTTTTTCTTGTTTCCCTCCGTCGAGGGTTTGGGCGTGGAGGACTGGTCCATCTTTTCCACTTCGGCCGGGGTCTTAGTTGCCGATGTGGACGCTTGCTCGTGTTTGAGTGCCTTTTTCCTGGGGGCTTCTTCTTTCTTGCCTTCATCTGAGGAGGTACTATGCCTCCTCTTCTCTTTCTTTTGGCTCTGAGCCTTTTCCTTGGGGGCATCGATCTCGATGCCCTGTTTTGCTGCCAGTTTCTCAATCAGCCTGGCAGTTCTTTCGCGCTCTTCGGCGCTTGCCCTTCTTTCTTCTATCAGCTGGCGGGTTAGATCCGTCAGCTGGCAAGATAGCTCGGCTATCTGCTTCTTAAGGGCGTCATTCTCTTTTCTCAGTTTCCTGAGAAAGCCCCCTTCTCGGTCACCCTCTTCGTCTTCGCTGGACGATGAGTAGACGTTCTCTTCGTCGTCCAGCATTTTCTCCACGGTTTTGAGCGTGTCCCGCTCTACCTCGCTCTCCTCGTCCGACATTTCTCCTTCGCTGTCGACTTTTCGCAAAGTTCGACTTTTACACAATTTCCAGTTGTGCCGCGCGCGCTGGAAATTGTGCAATTTTTGTGCACTGGTGCCCTTTCGGGCTCACTGCACTTCGCGGGTTTTTGTTTGCGTCCTTTTTCGCGATGTTCCCCTTTTACACAATTTCCGACGAGTGGAAACTGTGTAAAGGTTTTTCGGTACGCCCGATTTAGGCTTTGCCTTTGGGTGGGCGTCGCCCTCGCGTGCCGGCGCTTGTTCCGCGTCTCCGCGCGTCGGTCGCGTCTCGGTCGCGCGCGTGTCGCGTGGTCGCTTGTCGCGTGGTCGCGTGTCGCGTGGTCGCGTGTCGCGTGGTCGTGTGTCGCGTTCGGTCTCACTATCCTCGGCGTGGTTCACTGGTCGGCTGCTGCACTGCGAATGGGAACGACTGCAATTCTCTGGCCGTATTTAAGACAGGTGACGTTACGACCGTAGACTCCGCCCCCAGGCGTTTGCCGGCAAACGTTCGCGTCGATTGGTCGGTTAGTTCATATAAATACAACGTTCGCGGAGATCATGTTGTGCTTGCTCTTCCCCCCACTCCTCAAGGGTTTGAGGTTGCCTGGAACAGGGGTGGTGGAGGGACCGCACAGGGTAGGAGGGTGTGTGTGTGTGTCATGTTGTGCATTTGCAAGTTCATAGTCGACGTCGTTCGTTTAGCAGATTAACAAATTGAATATGTCAGGACGCGGAAAAGGCGGTAAAGTTAAGGGAAAGGCAAAGTCCCGATCCAGCAGGGCCGGCCTACAATTTCCCGTCGGTCGTATCCACAGGTTATTGCGAAAAGGGAATTATGCTGAACGCGTCGGTGCCGGAGCTCCCGTATATCTAGCGGCCGTTATGGAATACTTGGCCGCTGAAGTTTTGGAATTGGCAGGCAACGCTGCTCGCGACAATAAAAAGACCCGTATTATTCCACGTCATCTGCAATTGGCCATCAGAAACGACGAAGAATTGAACAAATTGCTTTCAGGCGTCACAATTGCCCAAGGAGGAGTTCTCCCTAATATCCAAGCTGTTCTTTTGCCGAAAAAGACGGAGAAGAAAGCCTAAAAAAAAAAATCTTCTGAACATACAATCGGCCCTTCTCAGGGCCAACAAGTAATTTAATAAGAAAATGAAGGGATTATCATTTGTATATGGAAAAATTTTCTCAGGGTGATATCGGATCGGTTGTGGCGCGAGAAGTTGGCAATAACTAAATTATTTAATCGAGGCATCTCATCGTCGCATTCACGTCTAATATTCGCCGGTATCTCGATAATGGGACATATCGGGACCGAAATCGTCGATTATTGTAATTCAAAGAGCCAAAACGTATAAGTCGATCAATTTCTCATATTCCGATAAACTCATTTATGTGAGTGTTTCTTTTATTTTGTATAAAAAAAAATAGAAAATTAATGTGGCGGTTCAATCGGCAGATCCATTCTTTCTCACGAGAGTATATGGTGGTTCTGAAAAGAACCGTTTTTTTTTCTTTGTATTGTATTTTCGTTCAACCTGTACCGTGGTAATTGCTGCGGAGTGTTTAACCACCGAATCCGTACAAAGTGCGTCCTTGTCTCTTTAATGCATATACGACGTCCATTGCAGTGACTGTCTTCCTTTTAGCGTGCTCGGTGTAAGTGACTGCATCCCTGATTACGTTCTCTAAAAAGACTTTGAGCACTCCTCGAGTTTCTTCGTAAATCAATCCGGATATACGTTTTACTCCTCCACGTCGCGCCAATCTTCTTATGGCCGGTTTCGTAATTCCCTGGATGTTATCCCTCAAAACTTTACGATGCCTTTTCGCTCCTCCTTTTCCCAATCCTTTACCACCTTTACCGCGTCCAGTCATTTTTCAAGATTCTCTCGCACGTCGAACTGTTAAAGCGAACGGGCTGTTGCCAACTGACGGTACGTCTCTCGTGACGCCCGGTTTTGTTAGCGTTGTCGTCCCTCCTATTGGTCTATCAATTGGCCAATCAGACTGTTTCGTATTTCGAGCCCATATAAATATAACTGTTCGCGGTGTTTACCTCCGCTCACTATAATATTGTCCGTTGCAATATTCACGTCGCTGCTATATAGATAATTTATATTCAGTTATCTGAAATTTAACGTAATGGCGCGTACCAAGCAGACGGCTCGTAATCCACCGGAGGGTAAAGCTCCCAGGAAGCAATTAGCCACGAAGGCTGCCCGTAAAAGTGCTCCTGCTACTGGCGGAGTTAAGAAACCTCACCGTTATCGTCCGGGAACTGTGGCTCTCAGAGAAATTCGTCGTTATCAGAAAAGTACCGAATTGTTGATCAGAAAATTGCCTTCCAACGGCTGGTCCGTGAAATAGCGCAAGATTTCAAGACCGATTTGCGATTCCAAAGTTCTGCTGTAATGGCACTCCAAGAAGCTAGCGAAGCGTACCTGGTCGGACTATTCGAGGATACGAACTTGTGCGCGATCCACGCTAAGCGAGTAGTAACGATCATGCCGAAAGATATACAGCTGGCAAGACGTATTAGGGGCGAACGTGCCTAATGGAATTGACGGATTTACTATTGCCGGAAAGAGAGAGAGAGAGAGAGAGAGAGAGTACGGCGTGCGATAATAGGTTATAAAAAAAAAACGGTTCTTTTCAGAACCATCATATAGTATGTTCAGAAAAAGGGGATCGTGTATTATGTTAAGTATATCAGATTGTTGTTTGTACGCGTGCAATTTCGACACTATTATCGTGTATGCAAAATAGCGCTAAATGGTTATACGATAGTCGCTAGTTATTACCCGTTATCCTATATCGAAGGATTGTGGTGCTTTGTAGTAAACCGTTACATTGATATTATTCTAATAACGTACGAATTGTATGTATGTGTATGGAAGTAAAATAACTTATAAGTAGCATGTGATTATAATGTAGATAATTCGACATAATATAGATATTTTGCCGTATATATTGCTTAGGCGTTTAGGCAGGCTGTTAGCGTGTAATACGTAACATTAGGTACTTTCACGTAGATCAAAGTCAGTAATGCGTACGTCTAATAATTAATATGTAGTAAGAGATGAATTTATAACTCGATCGCTCGTATATTATATATAATATTTTTCTACTCTGGCTTATTTATTACGAATAATAGATTGATGTCTCATATTATTATCTATTTTGTCATATTACAGGAGTAATGTTAAAATTATCGCGATATATTTCGCGACTGTGCACGTTCGGATGTACGCCAGACATACCTCCGTATAATTGCGATTATCTAAAATACCTTATCCATTAGCCGTATACCGACAGTATAATTGTATTACGAATAGTCGTAGATTGTTAATTTCATGAAATATCTAATTATATAACGTATTCGTATAATATAAATTAGATCAAAAAGCCGGACGATTAGGTCCAAAGCGGTACCTTGCACGTTTCACCTTATAATTTTATCGTGTACGTAGCGTACGTGATCAAGTCGCGAAGTTAAATGTGTATTTCAATTATGCAGATTTCATATTCGTTCAGGTTTTTAGCTGTTGCTCGTATGCAATTATATCAGCGACTCAAAAAACCAACAGATACGACCGCAGGCTTGGCAGAATTGAAGCCGTCGAAGAACTCGGTTTCGCTGCAAAGGCGGAGCGTTCAATGTTCGGTCGACCGAAATGACTTGGGTCACGACGCTGATTTTACCTCTCACATTCATTCGACATTCGTTCTCTTAGCGAGATCGTCGATCAGTGATTGCAAAAGATCGCGCGTATACAATAATCTGTCTCCTCTTCACGACTCGTAAACATGGCAGATACGGAAAACCAGAATTACGCCGCGTCGGCTACGGCTTACCGCGAATTCTGCGTCGCCGACGTCGCAGTCGTCTGCGAAAAAGGAGAAAAAAACCGAAGAATCCGAGGGCGAAGCCGTCTCATCCTCCTACTAGCGAAATGGTCATCACGCAATTAAAGGATTAAAAGAGCGTGGCGGGTCGTCTCTGCAAGCTATCAAGAAATACATAGCCGCTAATTACAAGTAGACGCTGAGAAAGTTGCGCCTTTCATCAAGAGGGTACTTAAATCGTCCGTCGCGTCTGAGCTTTAGTACAGACGGAAAGGCAAAGGAGCTTCCGGATCGTTCAAGCTAGCTTCGTCATCGGCTGGCGGAGCGTCGAAAACTTCATCACTCAGCCGCAAAGGTTGGCGAAAAGAAGAAGAAATCCGCGACCGGCTCAAAAGAAGAGCGGAAACCGTAGCTAAGAGAGCTAGCGTGTGCGAAATCTGCGAAGAAGGCATCTCCGAAGGCTAAGAAACCGGCGGTGGCGGTGGTGCGGCCGAGAAGAAAGCTTCTCCAGCTAGACAAGAAAAGTGGGAAATCGGCGACGTCGGCTAAAGCTTCTTCTGCTGCACCTTCTGCAGCGGCTGCAAAAAAATCTCCTCGAAGGCGAAGAAATCCAGCAAGGGAGCTCCGACCAAGAAGCCAAAAGCACCAAAACCGAAAACGGCGAAGGCTGCAACATCGCCAAAAGGAAGGCCGCTTCACCCAAAAGAAGAAATAAAAAAAAAAATTTACGTGTTGCAACTCGTAGATTACGGCTACGTCGGTTCGAGACGTTATATTTATGCGAGAGGATGCTATACGTCCCCGCGGATTGAAAATGGCCCTTTTCAGGGCCACCACTATTACTATAAAAAGGATACAGAATATTTACGAATTAGCAATTTTGTATCGAAATATACATGTACAACTGCGGCTCGTACGTGCGTTGATGTTTTTTTTTTTTTTTTTTTTTTTATTAAATTCGAGTATTATTCGTTTACGATTAGGTATTTATAAGCAAGTGGTAATGTTAGGCGTCGTCACCATCGATATTTGCTTTTAAGGTATAATACAGTATGTATTGTGTTTAATTAAACGAATGAACGTTAAACAGTCGATTGCGTCGTAAGGATATCCCTTTTTTTACGCTTTCGTTTACCATTAAATAATCCGGTCGGGTCTTATACAGACGTTATTGCTTTAGTGGTGTATGTATAATCACGAATAATCATCTGGTATTCAAGTACCAATAATAGATATGTTGCGCGTACGGTGATATCATTATCTTTACTTGATAACTTTAGTGGTTCGAAAAGAACCGTTTTTATGGTTGTAAGTTGTTGTTGATGTTGTTGTTGTCGTCGGTTACATATTACTTCGAAACTGGTGTACTTGGTTACGGCTTTGGTACCTTCGCTGACGGCGTGCTTGGCCAATTCTCCTGGTAGCAATAGTCGAACGGCTGTTTGAATTTCTCTGCTAGTTATCGTGGCACGTTTTGTTGTAATGTGCCAATCGGGATGCTTCCCTGCGATACTTCGAAAATATCGTTGACGAAGCTGTTCATGATGCTCATCGCTTTGCTGGAAATACCGGTATCTGGATACCTGCTTCAGCACTTTGTAGATGTAAATGCGTAGCTTTCCGTCTCCTCCTGCGTTTCTTTTTCTTATCAGACTTGGAAATATTTTTTTGAGCCTTACCGGCCTTTTTAGCTGCTTTACCGCTAGTTTTGGGTGGCATCGCGTTTCGATTTACACAAAATACGATCTTTACTGACACAATATCGTTATCTATAATGGAAAGGTGTGGCGGATAAACGGCGAGCTTTAACAGCCACGACGTTACCGACATAGACTCCGCCCTTACGGGTGACCGACAAACGAAAACGGTGATTGTCGGAGTAGTTTATAATATACTCGTACCTAAAGACATTGCCATTCTATTCTATTAATTCGGTCCAACGACAGCAATTGTAGTCGTCGATTCGCAAGTCAAAAAGAAAATAAAACAAATAAACAGTCCGGCAGGAAAAGGCGGAAAAGTGAAAGGAAAGGCAAATCCAGGTTAGTAGGGCCGGTTTTGCAATTCCCTGTAGGTCGTATACACAGATTATTGCGTAAAGGAACTATGCCGACGCGTCGGTGCCGGAGCTCCTGTGTACCTTGCCGCCGTTATGGAGTACTTGGCAGCCGAAGTGTTAGAGTTGGCCGGCAACGCTGCTCGCGACAATAAAAAAACCAGGATCATTCCACGTCATCTGCAGTTAGCAATCAGGAATGATGAAGAATTAAACAAGTTACTTTCCGGCGTAACTATCGCCCAAGGCGGAGTTCTCCGAATATTCAGGCTGTCCTATTGCGAAAAAGACAGAGAAGAAAGCCTAAATAATAATAATAATAAGAAAATAACGTCAAAACTAGAAATCGGCCCTTCTCAGGGCCACACAATTCGTTTGTTGAAGAAAAAATAGAGATCATCGGATCAGGAAACAAAAAAAAAAATCACGTAATATTTTGCCGATATTCCTTCATGCTGTTTGGGATT